TATCACAAATGCTATTGATGCTCTGAGTTATGCTCAAAATTTAAAATTTCAATGGGCCGGCCATGTAGCACGTCTAGAAGATAAGAGGTGGACTTACATCGTAACCACATGGAATGGCTTTCCAGGAAAAAGACATACATGCGCTGGGAAGATGATATTAAAAAGAACGCGGGACCACGTTGGACACAAATAGCAAAAAATAGAGACAAATGGAAATCTTTGGAGGAGGCCTTCACCTAAGGGGGGTGCAAAGCAAACAAACACAAATGAGTATATAGATCCTTAATAAATTATAAATTAAAATGTTTTGTCAATTTGCAACTAATTTAAATTAATGTTATCCTATTCATAATGTTATAAAAAACCAAATCCATTTAAAATAGTCACTTAAAATTTAGAAATCAATTACATAGATCGAAAATATTAATGTTATTAGTAATGCACATTTAAATTTTAACCCAATATTATGAAAAATAGTTATCATACCCAAAATTATGACATTAATTATTATCTCAATCAAATTAATTCATTAATAATAGAAATAAATTAATGTATAAAATTAAATTAAATTAATGTATTAAAATCTAAAAAAAATAATAAATTAATGCATTAAAATCTACAAAAAATTGATATAAATTAATGTATATTGAAAAAGAAACTAAATTTATACTTTCAATTTCCTTTATAAAATGCAAATTACATTGTAAAAAAGTTATATTGTAAAACTTATTTAGCATGGAATAAAAGGCTTTTTTATTTTTATTTTTTATTTTATTATCTATTGTTAATAAGCCGCTTATATAAAAATTTAAGTTGTTATAAATGTGTATAATGTATGTATGTATTAGGGCTGATGTCCCGGTTTCGGGACGTCTCACGCGTCGACATCTCAACACTAGTTATTTGTTAAATTGTCTCTGGTCCCGATTGAATGGTCTAAGGATCCAGGACTTTCGTGTTAATACTTGAGATTCTCGAGACTTGTCGTATTTTCAAATACTTACTTATTGTCTTCACAAATACTTCTGATTCATGATAGAACCACGTTGCAGCTATACATACGAGTATATGGTTGTGGCGTGAATGGACGGCTCGAGCGGGAAGAACCACGCTCTCACAAAATACCAACTTAAAATATTAACTTAATGCCGCTGTGATTCGTATGGTGAGTGTAGAGATCCGGAGACCCTTATTACTGGTTACAAGACATTACATCTTGGTCCTCGGGCATTTGCATTTTGAATCGAAGATAGATGTAGATGTATAGATATGAGTCGAAGCACAGAGTTTGATCGTGGTCAAGTTTGCAGAGAAGATTCAGAATAAGTAATATAGACAAATGGTGAAGAAATATTAATTTTAAAAAACTTAAACATTCTGTCTCTTAATCTTTTAAATTTTTGCATTTATGGTTCGGAAGAACTATGTTGTAATTGAATAAAATGCGTGTTAGATTGTGTCAACTTTCTGTCAAGAAGTGAAATAAGGGTTCTGTTATTTTTATCGTATATCGAGGACGTAATCCAAAAAGTCTTACAGTTCACTCTAACTACACCTTCCAGATACGATGATTGACAAGACAAGACTGCGCTGTTTCCTTACTGCTATTGAGACATTACTTAGTGCGTATTGAATAACAAAACACTTCATTTAGAATAGCAGTGTATTTTTTATCGTACGTGGGAATACAGACAGAGACCACGAAGTAAACACTCACTGCGCTTTAATATGTATAGTAGTACCATTATATTATATGTTATGCACGTTCATATATATATATATATATATATATATATATATTATATTTCAATATGTAAAGTAATTAACGCACACCCTGAGACACCGCAATTAGTATATTATGTTATAATCATAATACACACACTGAATTTTTTGTTAAACATTTTTATGCACTGATTATTTATCAAATTAGTTATACTAATTCCGGAAGAATGTTGTGGTCACAGTACAAATCCACGAACGCAAAGACTTTAACGTGCTTGAAATAAAGTTCATTTTTCTTTATTTTTATTGAATGACAGAATTAGTAATAATACAAATAAAACTGGACTCTTAAAAGTCTTATTGCCTTATGTTACGGTCCATTTCAGTTTCTTTTGACTGTACAGATTTAGCGTGACTGTAATTTACGTAATTATTTTTGGGATAAAAAATTATCTACATTAAAAATGATAGGAATCGATTCAGTAAACGATTCTGAACAAACTACTTTCTCAAAGTGCGTTAATTATGTTACATGTTGTATATATAACTTGACTATATGGGTTACATGTCATCGCTGTAATGTGCTTCTAATTGATTGTAACATTAAGTTGTGCCAAAACTCGTTCATTTTCTATTATTTAAATTCAAAGAAAACTTTACGTATCGATTCTAGAAAAAGGAATATAGGTATTTATAAAATAAGGGTGATAAACGAGCACACAGTCTACACGATGCTAAATGGATGTTGCGGCCCGTAGACATCTACATCTGTTTTCGAGTATGAGTCAAAATGCAGATGCGTTGTCACCCCTAAGGGGTAAGATGGAATGCCTCATTTATAGCAAAAAGGAGGCAACAAGCTGCTATTTTACGCTGGTATTGTATGAGAGCGTCATCCTCCCCCGTTTGAGCCGACCGATTCGGTCAACAACCATCATATTATAGCTGCAGCACGGCTTACATCTTATTTTACGTGAAATTAATAGACCTTTAATTTTTTTAATTGTTAATTTCCTATATCACACATATTTTTGAACGATAGCAAAATACTGAGTTTATAGCGGTTTTTCAATAATCGAAAAATTATTTATATGTGGTAGAGCCGCACTACAGCTATATTATGGTTGTAACACCAGTATGGCAGGACCACGCTCTCACAGGATACCAGCGTAAAATAGCAGCACAATGCTGTTGTGTTTCGTATGTTGAGTGTAGAAAACCGGGGACTCTTTTTACGGGAGACGAGGCATTACATCTTAGTCCTTAATGATGACAATGCATCTGCATTTTGATTCCTAATTGATGATAAATGTTGATGTCCATGAACCACAATTTCCATTTACCAACAGGTGGACTGTGTTTCCGTTTGTTATCCTAAATCTATAAAAAAACTTCTTCAACTATCTGTCTTATTCTCAAAAAAAAAATACTGTCATAAATCATAATCGCACGAATCATCCATATATCCAATAAATAGTAACTCCTAACGTTTGTGATGACGGCGATTAGTGTTATTATAGTAAACAAGCGGGGGAGGCCACAGAAAATGGTTAGTTAGATAATTACAGTGTAGTTTTTTTTTTACTTTAGGGACTTACGATATTTTTGATATGCCACTCCCATTGTAACTTATAACTAAATAACACAGTACAATTTATTAAATTAATTATACAAAATACTATCTAAAGGATATACCATTTGAGCAGCATTTGACAGTGGTTCAGAGAGAATGCTTTGATATTCACCTATGTTACATATTTTAATGTCAGTTTTGGCGACTAGTAGTTTCATTTCACGATAGTTTTTGGAACATTCCGCGAGCAAGTGTTGTACATCTTCAATATATATATAATAATTCTTCTTTGGTGAAAGCAAACTTGGTACACGGAATGTGTCCGAAACAAAGTCGCATTGCTAATACAATTATATTTGGACAGTATTTGTGTTGCATATATACTCCAACGTGACTCAACCACATGATGATGAATGATTGTTCACTTCATCTTTACAATGGGTAGGCCATTGGAAGATACTACTGAGGTGCGAAAGTGTTCCAACGATATTATTTTTATTTATTTTTATCTCAGATGAGAAACTCATTGATTACTCGGATCCCACATCGTGGATTAATATGTTTTTTTTTTCAATTATTGTTGTATTATTCAGTGTTCATATCAGTAAGTAGATCTAGCTATCTGAAATTGTTCCGATAGTGAAAAATTATATTTGCGGAAACAATACTAGACATCTTCTACCTGAAGATGCCTCATGTAGAGGCGAAACACGTGTCGTCGTATTATCGTCGATGGTGTGTCTTTCCTAGAGTAGTGGTGTTTGGATTAGTGGTGACGGGATTAGTGCACGCAATTGTGGGAGTGCGGGTGGTGCTCTTTAAACTAGGTAAGACCATTTTATTTTATTGAGCAAAGTAACTATTAATATCTTTAGTAAAAATATTTATAAAAATATTTAAAAAATCTATTAACGAAAACAGTGTTAAAATTTTTTGAAGTTTACTAGTACGTCCCTTGCCTAAAACACGCTAGCCCTGGTTGCGCATGTAACCTGAGGTTCCGTGCAATTGTACATCATCTTAAGTTAGATTTTTGAAGTTGAGTTAGAAAAAAACCGGATCATTGGATCATATTGGTATCTTTCAGCCATTTCATCTATGTATTTATATTACTACCTATTTTTCACCTACTCATCACCTAACAGAGTATGATAAGTATTCCTTTTAGCTCCTGCAATTATAGACTTTTCTATTCATTCTTTATTTGACATTGCTTAACTATCAACAACTTACAGTCTACTAGCCACAGTTTTCATGTAAGATCCGTACATAGAGGAGAACGCTATAGAATATTTTTTGGCTTTTACACACTTTTATGGCTTTTTTTCATTTCCCACTGCTTTAGAAAACCACCCTGGGAAGAACCAGCAATAGATTAGGGTGGTCTCCTTTATAACATCTTCACTTTGGTTTTCATCTTCATCAGAAAAAATCCACCGCTGGAAATGGGGTTTTCCCATTATATGAATTTACCTTATTCTTTACGATTGGCAAGTGCCGCTCTCAAACGTTCGATCAAAAGATTTCTCTGTATTCTATCAACGTTTCTAATTCGCAACACCTGTCTAGTACAATAGAATATATTATTAATAAACATCCGCGAAAAAGTCGCCGCCGTTACGTCGCGTACTAAACAGGCATCTCGCGTCACTAGACGTTAATAGATTTTGATAAATTGAGCGTAGTACGTAGACAGAACTGCAAAATGTCGGACGCGGAGCAGGTCTTGCGCAGCTTGTTGGATATTGTCGCCACTGAACACGATTACAAAGACTATGAAACTAAACTGCAGTCGTTTTCCACGGGAGGAGCCAACTACACTTCTCAACTGCATCACATCACGCTATCCGCACCAGGGAAGGATGACCTCAAACTGTTTGCGAAATCGGCTATTGTCAGCGAGAATATGCGAGCTCAAGCGCCGTTCGAGATATACGAAACTGAAATGTTTTTTTATTTGAAATTGCTCAAGCAGTTTCAAGAGATAGAGATCCAACACAATATTCCGACAGAACATAAGCTTGCCGCTGCAAAATTTTACGGTTGCAATAGGGAATATCTGAAAGAAATTCTAATACTGGAAGATTTATCGTCGCAGGGCTTTGATACCCACGATAGACTGAGAAGTTATGATTGGAATTACGCCTCCAAATCTGTCACAGAACTGTCAAAATTACATGCACTCTCTATCGCCTATAGCAAAGAATACCCTGAGAAGTTTGATACACTGTACACGAAGTTCAAGCTGCGCACAGATCTGGACAGTCTCAAGAGCTTTATGCAGGGCATAATAGGCATGGTTATGGCGGTTATCAAAGAAGAAAACAAAACTAAAGTAGAAGCGTTCCTTCAGAATGTACAAAGTGATGATTTCAATAAATTTCTCATGCCATCACGTCGGCCTATCATCGCACATGGAGACTTTAGGCCCAGTAATTTAATGCACAGAACAAGAGAGGTAAGGCTTAATAATATATCCATTACGCAATAAATAATTAATATAATATATTACATATTTGTCAGTCAGTATTCCGTGTGGTAAATGTTCTGTGAGTTTTCCCGTTACGTTATTCGAAAGACTTTTGTCTCTGTAGATGTACAATGTTTGAGAGCTTTGTGAAATATGTAAAAATGATGACAGAAAAGGCAACGTTGGTCCCTTGGGAGAGAGGCAGAGCCCTAGTATAGATGCTACGAGCTTAGAAAGCCACTCATCATAGAGGTATTTCGTTAAACTGATTAAATGACGCAAATGGACACTGAAAAGCGAATGAAATGAGAGTTTGATATATTATAGGATGCCAAGTTTTAGGACTAACTTCAGTAGAGAAGATGGCTGGGTGCTACCTAGGCAAGCAATACCACAGTGTCGCGCTTACTGGTAATTATATCCCAAGCCAAGCACACAATTGCGAGACTAAAACAAAATCCGTTTAAAACTAGTTTTATTGATTCTTGTCAAATTCAATGTCAGGGAAACGTAGCCAGCGTACTTAGTACTATACCGCGACAAGTAGTTTTATATTTAGACTGTATGATATTTTTATTTTTTAAATTTAAGCAAATAAATAATAAATATTGTTCATTATTATATTATGTGGATAAATGTATTAACTTTACGTAGTTAAAATATGGTTAAGTTTTTCGCAAAGTTGTAATATGATTAAACTTGTAGTTCAACATATCACACTGGGTATAAATCTTTCTTAACCACAAACGTAGAGTAACGAACAAGTCGACCTTGACGTTAAATGAAATGTTTTTATTATGTCATGATGCAACGAACTAATAATAATCCACACATTACAACCTATATAAGTTCACTGCTAAACACTGGAACTACTAAATCTACAGCTGACTTAAATGACTAAGAAATTAAGAAAATTCAAAAAGAGCTCAAGGTCTCCGTGATACTATTTTTAGCACACCTGATGTTGCTAAGCCTGTTATATATAATTTATATTTATATATTATATATCTATGGCGATTGGATCATAGTGGTGATTTTACCATAGTTGCCATGCCTGGAAAGCGCGTTGGCAACCACATTTTTTTGTCGTTTTGGGTTATTGTCACAGAATACCAGCGTAAAATAGTAGCTTAATGCTGCTGTGTTTCGTATGGTGAGTGTAGAGAACCGGAGACCCTTTTTACTGAAATGAGGCATTCTATCTTAGTCCTCATGGGTGACAACGCATCTGTATTTTGTTCGTATTCGAGGATAGATGTACCTAGATGTCTATGGGCCACAGCAACCACTTACCATCAGGTGGACTGTGTGCTCGCTTGTCACCCTATACTATATAAAAAAAATATCAGAAAGATGCTGCTGCCCATCTCCTGGTTCAGTTTCTCTCTGCCGCCTCTTACGTCACCCACGGGACGACATGGGCTGGTGGATATTCTTATATTTAAGATATGATTTAAGCTTATTAATGAATAAATTGACATGTAATAATAATTTAAATCTGACATTCAATGATAGATATCCTGTGATTGATATAAATAATTTTACTAAGAAGTTTTTGACTGGAGGTAGGTATTGCCTATCCAAGTATAGTATAAGACTGATAACAAATGTGCTATCTTATTATTTATATTTTAACGGATTATTTTTAGGATTTGGTTAAACAAACAGATCAATAGATACAGAATCTATTGAGCAGTATAATGACTTTACATTGAGTTTGGAATCAGTTCCAAGTAATTTAAATTAGATAATGAGAGGTAATCTCCAGCACAATTTAAATTTGAATTATTCTATATAATTCAAATTTAAATTGCATGCAAAAAAATGCAATGCAGCCTACAACTAGTTAATTGTATAATTTCACATAAAACAATCATAAAAATTGTATACACCTGGTGCATCAAAATGTACAAGGCACGTTAGGCAAAGAATAAGAAATTGGAATGTTTTTAAATAGTAACAACATACATGTTTTTGTGTAACTGAACATTGGTTAAAAGATTATAACTACAACATGTTTAATTTCAATAACAACCGGGTGGTCACTTGCTTTAACAGAGAAAAAAATTACGTGGTGGTTCCTTTATATTAGATAATGAATGATTGATAAGTTAAGAACGTAAGCATATTGTGAGCATCTCTGTTGAGCAAAATGTAGAAATGGCATGATGATTGCTGTAGAATGACCAATTCTAAATACGATTTTTTTAAAAAAATAATGAGGGAAGCTTAGCTTAAGCTTAAGAAAACAGAATAAATCTGTCATCTTATGTGGAGACTTTAATATCGATCCCCTTGAAACTTCTTCCACGAGTATTAAGTTTAGATAATTGCTTAAATGATACAACCCTGTTATTCAACACGTATTGCAGGGCATGGTGCAACTTGTATAGATAATATTTTTACTGATGTTGAGCCTTTACATAAATTAATTATTCAAAATGTAAGTTCTGATCACTGTGGACAGTCGGTTTCTTTACCTTACGTGCTCAAAAAACAGAAAGATAAGAAAGTTGTGCTTTTTCCAATAACTTAACATCGCTTAGAGAGATTTAGAAGAAGTATAGTGAAAAAGACTACCATTTCTTCCATATAAAAACAACATATATTTATATGGATATATTTATATGGTCCATTATTTAAACTTATAAATCTTGAAATTTGACAATATATTTACTTCTAAAAACTCTCTTTGAACAGTCACAAATCGTTTAATGAGTGGGCGACAGTAGGAATCCATAGGAGTAGACAAAAGTTATATAATCTTTACAATGAAAGATCGTATAATCATAGTGTTTTATTTAGAAATTATGTAAAAACATATTCCAAAAATTTAAGAGTGTGTTCCACAATGAAGTCCTTATATTTAAGAAACAAAATTAAGAATGCCTCTAATAAAATTAAAATAATTTGGAGTATAATCAGTAGTGAAACTACACAACTCAAACTTTCAAAATGTCAGTTCTGTTCTTAACGGTAATTTAACAAAATCTGATGAAGATATTGCAACGGCTTTTGAACAATATTTTACCAACATTCTGATCTTGCCTTCAAAGTCACTAAATTCCTCCCCTACTATCGCCGAGTGATTACTCAAACAAAATGTAAACGTACGTAAAAAAGAATTTGCATTTCATAAATTATTATCAGGTGATATTGTAAAATATTTTAAAACAATTGATTTGAAGAAACAGCAGAGTTGTGGGGGATTCTACATATATGTAATCACTAATACTGTAAGTAATTAGGTCATTAGATACTTATTTCATTAGGTTTATCATATTTATGTCTGTTACTTTACGACAACCCAGTCGCTTCCTATATTTATTACGGTGATTTCCCATTTTAATTTTATGTCGTCCTGTTGCATAATGTGTATTCTGATCTTAAGCGACACAACTTTCCCGTCGGAAAGCTGAAGCGAGACTGAGTGGAGGTATCGTGCGGTAAGGAACAAGCTTCAGGTTGCCAATAGTTTAGGTAATTTCTTTTCACAGTGAAACTAACGGTAATAAAAAACATAAGACCTGTTTTATAGTTAGTTCAGTTAGTATGCAAAGTTTCACGATATAATTTAAAGCATTTTGTGAATACTAGCGGTTTATTTTTCGGTTTGGAGGTAAAGTTGGATATTTTATGTTTTTATATTTCTAATAAATCGATGAACGCCGGCTGCACGCATGAAAAAGGATGACTCATTGTAACGTTACGCTCATTGTAACGTTAAGATCGGAGCGAGAGCACTGCACAAGCGAATGAAAGGCACGATCAGCTTGAGCGTTCAGCTTGCGCCGCATCTATCTCTCTTTCACTGGATTACTTATTGTCCGTAATAGTAGTAATTCAATTTTATTCATAAAAGTATGCAATCTTTTCATCAATGTTTTGTTACGACGTTGTCACGTTAAACTATCGTCCGTAAACCGATTTTACACACAATCAATTTTTTTTCTTTCGAGAAAATTTTCATTACAGCCCTTCACAAATCCACTGCTGAACATAGGCCTCCCCCAAGTAATGCGACAAAGCACAGTCCTGAGCCACCTGCATCCATCGACTTCCTGCATGTCTTACCAGGTCATCACTCCATCTAGTGGGGGGGGGGTCGCCCTACACTACGCCTACCGGTGCTTTACAATACATTTATTTCAAAATTAATGCTGCAATATTTTTGGCATAACGGAGGATCTTGCTAAGCCATTTGAGATAGTATAGGCCCTTAATGACTAACCTTACTTGATAGGGAATAATCATGATATAGTTTTCTTTGCTGATGATACTCCGTTGATTTTCCGACTAAAAAGGCAATTATTGAAATGTGATGAAGTGAATAATGCTAAATTAAAAGAAGTGCACTGGTTTAACGTTAATAATTTACTTATGAACGGGGTAATTTTATACTATCCCGGTCACCTCGTTTTGTGGCTCTAGAAACTCTAAAAATCATCCGATTTCAATGTTTTTTAAATCTACGTCTTTATATCGGATTTATGGAAAAAATATGGAAAATATCTCACCTCCAGATTTCATACAGTTTTATGATTTTCAATGTGATCATAAACGCACTTCTTCGAATATAATCGTTCATAGCTTTTTTAAATAATCAAATGAAGTTCCAATATTTTTTTCATAATCTACACACAAAACGAACATTAAAAAAAAAAGAAACATTGTAAAATGTATGTTTATTAATTTTTTATCTCACTTAAAGGTTTTATATGGTGTGCTGACTTTAAATGTTATCATAAACTCTCTAGAAAATCGAAATAATTATAAAAGTTAATTAAAAAACAATTATCGAAATCGGATAATTTATTGAGTTTCTAGAGCCAAAAAACGAGGTGACCACGTTAGTATAAAATTACTTTGAACGATAATAAAGCAATGTATTAAATTTATTCACCACACCTAAAGTTAAACAGGTGAAAACCAGTGTGCTTTTAAATGGGCAGGAGCCTTGTCGAATCCACTGTTTTTCTCGGAATTACAGTTGACACGGAGCTTCAAAGGGACTCACTCATATCTAAAATAGCTAGTAAACTTAGTTCTGCAGCATATGCTGCAAAGAGATTATATATGCCTTACCTGTTTGTTAAAACAGCTAGATTTGTTTATTTTAGTTATTACCATAGCGTAATGTCATATGGAATCTTGCTATATGGTAATGCGACCGACGTTGAAGCTATCTTTGTTTTGTAGAAGAGAGCCTTAAGAGCAATTTATAACCTAGGTCCGAAAGAATCTCTTGGAGAGAATTTTTAGAAATAAATATATTAACATTGGCTTCCCAATATATTTACGAAAATATAATATTGTAAATTGTGCTTCTAAAAAAAAAGTACCACCGGGTTCTTTGCTGGTTTTTCCCAGGACGGAGGTTTTTTCTAGAACCAGTGGTAAAAGTAAAAAATGACTTTCAATAAGTATTACATATAGATAATCTTTATTGCATAAACATCATTCTATCCTATTTGTTAAGATTAATTCAGACGATGATGTACAGATGACGTTGTACAGTTTTTGAGTTATGTCAAGATAAGTGTTAACATTAGTTCAGAGTTCAGAAGACGACCTACAGATGGCGTTGTACAAATTTAAATCACAGTATGAAGTAGTTTACAAGCCAATATATAACGCCATTGATTCAAATGAATAAACAACCTTTGTATAGCTCTGAGTTCTTGGGTTATATTTAAATTACCTATACCTCGAGTGTGAGTAAAATGAAGTATCACAAAGGAGCGAACATAGTGTAGTGTGCAGTGTGAACATTATTCTTACGCCACCACTACCCCGTTAATTATAATGAGCTCAAGTAGACAAATAGGGATAAAGGAGGCTACTCATATGTCATCCCGTCGTCAGTCTGGGAACATTATGCCTGGTGTAAACGAGATGGTTCACCACCATCTATCGGAAGCCGTTATTTCTCTTTGAATTTTCAAATGTAGAGATGGTTCAACCATTGTTTTGGAATTTCCAAAAGTCACCCACACCACACCACCACCCACAGGGCGTAACAGGGTAATGGATTTTCCTACGCCGTCATCACACGAAAGGTGCACTGCTGCATGATGAAAAGTTAAGAGGGTAGTGCTGATGACGGGATATCTAAGTGAAAAGAAAATTTATGCAGTACATATACTTTTTCTTCTTCGCCATTTTGCTGTAATAAATAACAAATGTGTAATTATTTCCTTTATTTACGCCCCACCCAAACATAAGTTTTTCTTGCGTCGGTCGGACCAAAAATTAAGAATTTTCATGCTGAAAGGAGCCGGAGTTCACTTTGACGATTGGATGTAAAGACTCTAAAGGTTTTACTCAAACCGTCAATAATATGATATAAGTTAATTAAGTACGCAAAATCCGTACAATACTAATTTCGTCCAACGTGTAATTTTTGTTTTCTAGGACGGACAAATAGAGGTGGTGATTCTAGATTACCAGACGCTTCAAATCTCCAACCCGATCATTGATCTTATGTACTTCATCTTCAGCGGATCTGATGAAGAGTTTCGTGCTAAACACTATCGGCAACTCATTGACCATTACTACTTGGAACTTTGTAACGCTCTTACCAGGTTGGGTGTCGATGCTAACGAATTGTACCCAAAAGAAGATTTCGAATACGAATTGGAAAAGGTAGATAGCAATATATATTTTATATAAATTAAAGTTGAAGTTACAGCCCTGTATATGTCTCACTGCTGGGCACAGGCCTCCTCTGATTTCTAAGAGGGTTCAAGGGGAAGGAAGTGTCCGCAGCGCTGCCCCAAAAGTTACCAGTTGGCGAACTTCACATGTTTTTAAAATATTTTTTTTCTTATTTCTCAGACATGCATGTATCCTCACGATGTTTTCCTTTACCGCCGAGTAAGTGGTAAATTAGCACTTAAAATTTCATTTTCATTCAATTAACAACTTTTCATTGGGTTGCTCGCGTATTGTGCAATTTACAGCGAATGCTAACCATTTGAGCTACCACGGCTCGATACAAGTCATCACAACGCTGCTATTTTCAGACTGAAATAAAACAGTAAATCATGTGTCTCGCCGATTATAAAAACAAATGAAAATATGTGTGAATTATAAATACATATTTAACACTATAATATATATATATATATATATATATATATATATATATATATATATATATATATATATATATATATATATTATATATATATATATATATACACAACTACCACTCACTGACTGCCTATAACGATATCTCAGGAACTATAAACATAAATTGAAGTTTGTAAGGTAGGTTCCTTTTTGACATAGAGGTAGTTAAGAAACGTTTTATCAAGGTATGGGTGGGTTTTGAAAGTCCTCGTTTTTGAAGTTAGAGACACGAAAATCGGCATTAAAGTTAAAAGTTTTCAATAATAAAATCCTGAATAAGCTGTTTTACGAAATCCTAACCCTAAGGGGGTGAAATTGGGGTAAAATGACATTTACTTTATTAGTTTTAAATTATAAATACTTGCATAGTTAAGCTTTACCTATATAGCCTCTTTATACTCAGGTAAGACTTTTGCAGCGAGAAAATTTCAAAATCTCATAGGATATTGTACGCGGTGTTATGTAATTGTGTGATAAGTATATTTTTTCTTACCTGTCCACTTTTTCCGGTGGTTATTAAAAAGCTTGTGATATCTCCACTTAATTTTGGTTTTTCAGGAAGAAATATTTGTGATTCCTTTTTGTGGAAAGATATTTGATGCTTCCTTAAGCCTGAAGTGTTTCTGTTTTTCATTTTTATTTCAACCTTTTTATGTTGGCATAATTTACACAAAGCAATTTAGGATGCATGAATTATGTCGAAATATTCATCAAATTTACTTTTAGGTCTTTTAGACCAACTCTCACTACTCCGACTCTTCGTCACTCATGTCAGATTGTAAACTTATCACTCCGAGAAAAACAAGGATTAGAGTAAAAAGAATTAATATGTAGCAGCCAGATTAATCAAACCTAAACGGGAATAAATAATATATACTCCGCTGCTACCATAACGCGGAAGGCGAGAATAAATAAAAAAACATTTTATTTCCTAATTATTCTTGGCTACTGGGATACTGCGGACTGTATATAGATAATTTGACGTTCTTATAAAGAAACAAGAAGCAGCCGCAAATAGCATTCAGCGCCACACCGACTTCACACGCCGCTATCGTCACGTATCCGTCGACCAATGGTGAGCCGTTTCTTCAACGCCGCAGTTCGTTTCCTCTTGCTGTTCCGGAGCTGTATTCCACACCGCCGCCGCCCGCCGACTACGCGTGCGCACCGATCTGCATGTCTTATATAGCCCGGTCCAGCGACGTAGCTTCGTGAACAACAAACAAGTCTCACGCCGGGAAACGAAACGTAGATAATTGTATATTTTAAATAGTTTTCATTGGTCATAAAATAAGCAATATAATTGGCTAGGCAAAATATTAATTGTTACCATTGGCAAATCAATAGTGAGCCAGCCATATAAATATAGGCAAGGTTGATGCAAAGGATATTCCATTCCATTCCATTCTGAATCCCATTCGACAGTACATACATAAACATAAACAGTAGTTTCATTTCTCCACCTTAAAGAAAACCACTCGGAGTCTGTTAATAGTGGACAGTTCGTCTCCACTATTACAGTGGTGACCCCGTACGAACACCGAGGGGGGAAGATCCGGTACGAACACCAAGAAGGAACACCCTGCGACGTACCACTACTATTGCACGAACACCGCGAAGGAAACCCGTACGAACACCGAGAAGGAAGACTTCAGTTTATATAAAATCAGTGTAATCAAGCCGTCATTATGGAGCAGGAGGCAAACACATATACATCAAACCCGGTAAAGGAACCAGAAATCGCCGGTATATCTCTATCGTTAAGAATACCACCGTTTTGGAGAGACAAACCACGACTTTGGTTCGTCAGTTTTGAAGCCGCAACGAATGGTTTAAAGAAGAGCCAAGCGCAATTAGCACAGATGGTGATAGCCCAACTTGAGAAACAAGACATCGAACAAATTGCGGACCTGTTGTACAACCCACCAGCAGTCGACCAGTATAATTCACTGAAGGATCGTCTGATCTCCGCATACGAAGAATCCGACAGTCGACAGCTACAAAAACTTCTATCAGAAATAGAACTTGGAGACCAGAAACCCACACAACTCCTACGCAAAATGCGTACTTTGGCACGAGATAAAGTTCCGGATTCAACACTACGGCTAATGTGGGTAAACCACCTACCACCACATATTCGATCGGTAATAGCAGTCAGCGAAACATTCAGCACGCAGACGAAGCTCGACGAACTGGCACTCCTGGCGGACAAGATGATCGAAAACAGCAGTAGCTCACACATATCGATCATCGAAGGCACTTCAACAAAGGCCAATGATACCCAGTTTCTTCTCGAAGAAATTCGGAAGCTATCATTCGAAGTCGCCGCGCTCAAAGCTTCCCAGCATCATACCTTTTACCAGCAACAGTACAACCAGCGCAATCAGCAACACCGAAGATCACCTTTTCGTCGCAACCGCTCTGCAAGTAGAAGTCGAATAAGCTCAACATCAAGATCCCCTTACTGCTACTATCATCGACGTTTCGGGGTCGAGGCAAGAAAATGCACCGTGTACATTCAAAAATGAAAATACGAATACGGAAAACTAACTAGTACGCTCGATGCGACGGGATCCAGCGTAACAGCAAAGTCCTACCGTCTTTTCGTCACCGATAAAAAAAGCAAGCTTACTTTCCTTATCGACACCGGAGCAAATATCTCAGTGTTACCGCCGAAGCAAGGACAGAAGTTGAAGCCACTAGATTTTCAACTCTATGCAGCAAACAATACGGTTATTCCTACATATGGAGAAAAAACAATGGAACTTGATTTTAATCTACGCCGACCATTCAAATGGAGATTTATCGTCGCTAAAGTCAGCAAACCAATCATCGGTGCTGATTTTCTTCAACATCACCAGTTGGTCGTCGACATCAAAAATAGAAGAATCATCGACGGGAAAACCAATCTTGCATCTCAGTCTTTTGTACAAGCAACCAATCTGCCCACAATAAGAAGCATAGATGTGCAACAACCGTATCACAAGATCCTCGAAGAATACCCTGGTATCACAAGAATAACTTCAATGAAATTAACACCGAAGAACGACGTTGAGCATTTCATCGACACCAATGGACCACCACTTCATTGTCGTGCACGTCCAATCGCACCACACCTATACGAGCAAGTTCGAAAGGAATTCGAAAACATGATTGAGCAAGGAATATGCCGTCCAAGCAAAAGCCCTTGGTCATCACCACTTCACATTGTACCGAAGAAGAACGGAGAATTACGAGTTTGTGGAGATTACAGAAGACTGAATTCTATTACCACTCCTGACCGCTACCCAATACCGCGAGTCAGGGATTTCACTCATCAACTATCAGACAAGACTATATTCTCCACCATCGATCTCAACCGAGCTTACCAACAAATAAGAGTCCGCGATGAAGACATAGAGAAGACAGCAATAATTACCCCAATGGGATTATTCGAATTCCCAAGAATGATCCCAGGATTAAAGAACGGAGGTCAAACTTTCCAAAGATTCATACACGAAGTACTTCATGGACTGGATTTCGTTTTCGCATTTATTGATGATCTCCTTGTTGCAAGCCCTGATAAAGAAACGCACGAAACCCATCTACGATTACGTGCTACAGCGATTAGAAGACAACGGAATCACAATCAACCCTTCGAAATACATATTTGGACAGCAAGAAGTTCAATTTCTTGGTTTCACCGTCAGCAAGGAAGGAATAAAACCGCCTGCCGAAAAAGTCAGAGCAATCATCGATTATGCAAAACCTAAAACTATCGAAGAGCTAAGGCGTTTTCTTGGGATGATAAATTTTTACAGAGAACACATACCTAAAGCCGCTGAAATCCAAGCACCACTTCACGCCTACCTTCACAACACGAAGAAAAAAGATAAAACGTCAATCGAATGGAACGATGAAGCCACGAAGGCATTTGAAGCTTGTAAAATTGCGATCCAAAATGCAGCTTTACTCGCTCACCCATCACACGAAGCAACCCTTGCTATCTTCAGCGACGCATCCGATCTCTCAGCAGGAGCAGTTCTCCAACAATACAGCAATGGGAAATGGCAACCACTTGGATATTTTTCGAAGAAGTTCTCCGATACTCAACGTAACTACAGTACATTCGACCGAGAGCTACTCGCTATTTACATGGCTATCAAGCACTTCAGAAAAACGTTCGAGGGTCGAAACTTGATCGTTTTTACCGACCACAAACCATTAACATATGTACTTCCAAAGAAACCATCACTATCGGAAACACCACGAAGAGCAAGACAACTTATTTTCATAAGTGAATTCACGACCGACATACGTCACATCAGTGGAAAGGACAACATAGTTGCCGACGCACTCAGTCGCGTACCAATCGACAGTGTAACGTGCCCTACATCAATCGACTATCATAAGGTCGCCGCAGCACAAGACAGAGATAGTGACAACATAAAACATCTATCGAAGCAAGGTAACTTGTCCATCAAGCAAGTTACAATGCCAATGACGCATCTACCTATATACTGTGAAGCCTC